CAACAAGCATTCCTGTTTCCCCAGTTGGAGATGCATGTCGAACCACCTAGACAGCCAAGATATAGCATATTTTAAGGTTTCAGTGTGCGAAACGAGGAAAACTGATGCCCTACAAGATGGTAAGAAGGAAATGTATGTACCTGTTCAGTTTCGCTCCTGAGACCAAGTCTCCGTATCTCATCGAATCCTTTATGAACAAATGTCATCTACATACACAAGAAAACAGATAAAAGCTTACATAAGCCACGCCCAGTAATAGAGAGTGAATTTCCTCTGAATCTCTGCAAATCTAATAATAGATGGAAAGTGAATAGAAATAAAACCATGAACTACTTCAGATCCCAAAGATAACCTACTATCACCAGCCACAGTAGTCCAAATAAAATAAATATTCACGAACTTCAAGGTATACATTTTCCCCCTAGGATTTGAACACAACATTCAAATCACATACATTTAATTGACATACCATGTAACAGTATGAGTAATTTTTCAGAAAAAAAACTGAACCTAGCTATTTAAAAAAAAAAAAAAGAGAGAGAGAAAGCCAAAATTAATACTCGTGGAAACTTTCTTAACAACAGTATGAAGAGTCTCAAAATCAGAGAGGGAAAAAACAAACCTGAAGTGTACCACGAGGAATATGAACTGCTTTTGGCTTATCCGTGCACGAGTCAATGCTTTTTTGGAGAAAACTGAACGCCCTAACAACCTTCCAAACACAAAAACAATACTTGATCACTAAGCAAATTACTGACTAAACTTCAAATTAATAGTGGGGCTACGGAATGATTTTTATGCTTCCTACTAGATAGTCAGATCCCCATATAAGAGAAGAAGAGATGTCAAGTATAGCTCTTTTGGAACATTTTACGAACTTTCAGCATAAACTATTTTCCGGAAGACTAAATACATTGAACAATCCTCTGATGGAGGCTCTATACACATTTACCAATTCTTAGCTTTGGCAGAAGCAGAAGCTACATAATAATCTAATGTTCTGAATTTACAGGGGTTGTTTCAGTGGCTAAATTAGTTACACCATTTACTCGTAACTTAAGAATCGAAAATGAGTAAATGAAAAAGAGAGATTGCTTACCCGTTGAAGTGGTAGGAAGAAGGCAGATGCACTTGATGACTTGCTGCCAGCATTCAAAGCTACCGCCCTGCCTTGCCAATCAATGACAGGAGAACCACTTGAACCACCTTTAGTACCTGATGCTGCCTATAAACAATATTAGCAAACAGTAGCATATGTGTAAGGTTTACACTTTGAATAACAGTAGCCTAACATACTTGAATATTACACAATAAGCTACAAACAGGAAGTTTTTACCCTAGTTGGTGGACTCGAGATAATTTAAAGTAAATACGATTGAGAGACACATTTTGTTGTGGAAACAGGAATAAATCAATAAAAATCATAAGCATGACACGACTAAAAGATTAAACAAGATTCTGACTCGGGGAAGACAGCATGCAACTTAGTTCAAATAAGTTAGTAAATTAATTAAAATCTAAGAGGACATAATCACTTACTTGCATATAAAACGTATTGAAGTCGTTATAACCATCTCTGCACCAAAAAAAAAAATTGATTTTTACAAAGCAAGTAGCCAGCCATTAAAAAAAATCTATTAAAGGTACCGATGATATATTACGAGTTCAAAAATTACTACATATATGAATTTAAAAAGATTCCATGCAAGTCACAAGTATCACCAACAACTTTTTATGTTGAGAAATAAGCAGAACTATAAAACATGATCAGTGAAGCAGAAATACTTTTTGTAATGTGGAGCATCCCTATCCAACCGCGCAAGAGTACCAGCCAGTATGGAAACCTGCAAATCCACACTCCAGTTACTAGAAGCATTTGTCATCCATAAGTGCGTCTTAATTCACCAAAAAAAAAAAAACAATGTCTTCTTTTTTTGCAATCTATGTTTGAGATGTGACAGGTAACTTAGCTAACTTGACAAATAGCAAGACAGTTGAGACCTCATTTAAAATATGTTACCTTTTCTCCGCTATCATTTCCAACAACCCTAATTTCAAGTCCAACAGAAGCCGCCTCTGGGGCAAGAGGAATTTCTTCATAAGACAGAAACTGTACTGCACTGGGATCATAGGAAAAGAAGCCAAAGTCATGGACCTGAAAATAATACCAAAGAATGTCAGCCTGATGACGAGGGAAAAGACAAGAAGGGAGAAAACTAAAATATATAAGATGAGACATAAATTCTAGCTCCTGCAGATGTATGATATAGAATAATAGAACCGTAACAACACAAAAGCAAAACTAACGCCTCTGCCCATACCAAAACATTCTGGACCGTGATGCCAAATTTTCATACTAAAAGGGAAGCAGGAAAAGGGTGAAAAGCGAAATCTGATCTAAGGATTAGAATGAAAGACTTACCGGGTCTCTATATACAGGATAGATTGGGATTTCTTCGCGGTTCACAAACATTGCCTCAGCAACTACTGGGCCTACATAAGAAGAAAGCATATCCAAATGAATCACTGGACGCTAAAGAGATTCTTTGTCTACTCAAACCCAGCAGGAACGACCAACATATATCCATATCGACCTAGAACTTAGAATCAGAGCATTGTCATTTCCGAGCCGAGCTAACCGGTTTCTAGACAGCTATCCGAATCACTTCTAAAGTTCCACTACAGAAGAAAATTTGTGTGTGATTGATGATGCAGCTGCTCCCTAAGCTCGTATCAGATCAATTACGTCCATATTAAGAGATTTCAACAAGTAAAAGCGCGCACCAGGCTTAACCACATGGCGATTGGTGAGGATGATCCCACGTCGCTTATCAACGATGAACCCAGTAGCATAGCTGGCACCGGCGGACTCGGTGTCGAAGGCGCGGCAGGCCGTTGTGCGGAGTACGACGACGGCGGGAACAACCTTGCCGAGAGAACGACGCCAGTCTTCGGCGGTGGCAACGGATTCAGTTAACGGAGGATCGATCTCAACGCACAAGTCCTCCTTCATGCCAGACTCAGTAGCCATTGACGCCAGTGATCCCAATCTCTCCAACGGATCTCCCATTTGGTCTCCGTATCAGCTTCGGGGAGAAAATCCGCGGGAATGGGGTTTAGGGTTTTGGATTGGACTCTCTACTCTATCAAGATTGGGGGAAAAAATAAGAGAAATCTGATGATTTTATTTGCCTCTTCAAAGAGATTTTATTATATTCTTAAGTGCTCCGATTAGTTGTTAAGTATGTATAGTACATGACTTCAATTAAATATGCTGTTATGATAATTTGAAATTAAAACTATTCCATAAAATAGAGATTAGATTTTTATTTTATTTTGACCATTGGGGGGACTTGGCTTCTAGCGGATTTATTATTATTTTTGTAAAAATGAGGTAATTTTGTTTTGTAGCGTAATCGTAGAAGTTGATTATTGCAGAAAAAAAAAACTTTTTCAGAAAGCTGAACTTGATTAAGAAAGACTTAAGAGAGAGAGAGAGAGAGTTTATGCATGCAATAAGCAAAAATAAGTTATACCGTCATGCGGATTACTATAATACTTATAAGTTGTTAAGAAAATAATAATTTAATTAATTATATGATTTGTTAATCTGATAGTGGAGTGTTTGCGCATGTCTAATGTCAATTATCCAAAAGTCACCAAAGTTTTTTCCTTTTTCTTTTTCTTTTTGGTGGGTTTTAAAAAAAAAACATCCAAATCGTAAGTCTTTAAAAATATAGAAAACCAGCCGTCGCTCAAAATAATATGAAAATAGTAACATTTTTGAAAAGCTTGCATGAGTTATTATTTCAATTAGTTAACGTACGTGTTTAACAGTCTCAACTTTATTTGGTGAGGATGACACTTTTTGTTTGATCAACTTAAGATCACTGAGTGCTTAAGACTTAAGACTTTACATTATAATCACGTTTGGAAAAATGTTAGTCTGTGCTTTGGTTAAAAGAACGATTTACTTAGAAAAAACGATTTACTCGACAAATTAGACAACAGTATAATTAATTCGAAGATACATATTAATTACGATGCAAAATATCGTGTTTCAGAGCTATCCATAAAGATTGCTTACAAACACCACAATTACAATAACCAAGAGATTCTTAACGGAATTATGGTTTGCGCTAGAATCATAGCCCCATTGGTCATCTGGTTCGGTCCGGTAGAGTTCCCCCGGCACACCGGTCACGTACATGTATTTCGGCGGAGGTGGAGATGAAGACGACCTACTGCAGTAAGTCTTTCGTGGTGGCAACGGCGGCGGCTGATGAGCACAAGAATTAACGCAAGAGTCTTGGACCGCTGGCTGAGTTATAATTGCGGTATGTTCCAGGGGAGAATCAGAGCTGGCTTGATTAGCGAGACAGTGTAATACGACAAACATGGAGAAGAAGACTAGAAGCAGAGGTTTGGCTTTCATCATGATCATGATCTTGATTGATAGGAAATGTCTTCTAATATCGAGACTTGCGAAACAACAATAAAGTAGATATATATAAACAACATGCATGTGCATGTACAGTGTACTCAGTGTCATATCTATACATCACCTAATATGGGATTTGGTGGAGACCAGATCATACGCATTCTGCATTACAATGCAAAAGGTCTTCAGTTTTGAACAAGTCTCTAATTTTGATAAGTTCAACTATTTTGGTTACTACTATTAAGCTTAGTTGATATATGGATTGGTCCGGTGATTTTGAGTCCGGCCTGTTTTAGGCCCATCTATTTTTGGTCTTGGTAACTTCCATGTGATGTCCATTGGGCGAAGAACCCCGAAGAAATACCGATGTCACCAATGATCTTGCGAGAACGATGACTGAGATAAAGAGAGAAGGAAACACGTATCGACCTCAACCCCAGATGTACAGCTTTCGAACACAACACGTGTTAACGTGAATATAAGAATAACCAAGGACCGACCCTACGTACTTAAGATCAATAAATATAGTATTAAGATAAAACAAGAAGAACAATTTAAAAAGAGTGTGAAATGATTCGCTTGAGTCTCTATATAAACATCACAATCCAGCTCTCTATAATCTTCCACTTCTTGTTCTACTCACATTCCATACATCATATCCCTCTAACATCCACAAACATTTCATAGCTTTGATCAAACTTTCACGAACGATGATTCCGATATGCGTGCAGTGCGGAACGGGAGGAAACCCTTGCAGATGCAAAGTGGTAGGACCGACGTTAGGGCTTGTGGCGTTTGTAGCAGCCGGAATAGTGGAATGGCCGGTCGGAGCATTGGTGTATATATTTAAACACGCAAAGGGTCGCCGCATTATGGGTCATCCGGCCACCCATGTTTATCCCAAAGTCTCTCGTTCCATTCCCATATGATTATGACTTTCATGATCTCACTTTATGACTTTTGAGTAACTTATTACTATATTGTATTATGTATCATGTATGTTTCTAAGCCATATCGTATCTTATCTTTCTTTTCTTCCATTGGGAACCTTTAATGCTTTAATTACCCAAGTACTGTACGTGAATAAGTTAATAAATCTCCGATTTCAATTTTTTAAAGTCGTTATCAAGAGTCCTCAATTTATAATCGAGACAAGAAATTAAAGGGGATAAATTTGTCTTTAACCGAAATAATTGGACTAGAAACAAAATTAAAACTGTAATCGAGGAAGGATAATTACTCCAAAAGTCATAAAATTTCTAATCTCACTTTTATTTGTGTGCATCGACGATTGTAATCGTGGTAAATTGATAGTTTCGGAATCAAATAGTTTCATGGTTGTTTCGTTCGATAATAGTGTTGCATGTATACGCCTCTTAGATGAGAGCTGACCGGTCATTTTTTTTTTGAGGTCAAAAGAGCTAACTGGTCATATAAAAACTTCTTGCTTCTCTTAAGTCTCAAGTCTTAAGTAGGTGGTAACAAAAAAAGGTGTGAAATTTGTACGAAAGCTAGATTCATACATGCAGGCAAAAAGAAGTATCGGTGATGGATCCTAAAACGATATTTGTTTAACTTGTGAACCTTGATAGACATCAAGACCGATCTAGTAGCGGTTGTGACGCCTGCAAAGAGAAATTTGACATAACCATTTGTAAGAAAGATATGGACTTCTTTTTCTGACAAAAAACAAAGACTCTGGTTTTATATTACCTATGGCGATCATAGTCCCTTCTGTCTCTGGACCTGGACCGTGAGCGTGACCTACGTCTTCTTGAATGTGACCGATCATAGTCTCTGTCTTGTTCACGATCACGGTCATGGTGCCTATCTCGATCTCTGCTCCTGCGATCATAATCTCTTCGACGTTCACTACTAGCTCCTCTCTCTTTCTCTCGGTCTTTACTTGATTCCCTCTCCTTACTGTTCCTTTCCTTTGACCTACGAATGGTTTTCACAATTAAGACAGTTTCAAAGATCCAAAACAGTAAGAAAGACAATCAAATAGGAGCTAGATATAAAACTATAAAACCTAACCTTTCCTTGCGGAAATTGGTCTTCTCATCCTGAAGAAAACAAAGCGAAATATAAGAACAGACAATATTCATCCAATATCACAGATGAGTGGATTATGTTATTAGTTTACCAGAAGCTCTTTCAATTTGTCCCGGACTAGCATGTAACCTAAATGAAGCTTCCCACCAAAATGATCAGCTAAACGACGATCACTATTGCATCACAAAAAATCCAATTAGCATAGCCAAATGACAAAATCATTTGACGATAGCATATCAAAACAGCTTAATGTTAAAAAAATCCATTAGTTAATCTATACTAGTACGATCCTTCATGCACAACAAATTCAAGAAAAGAACGCACATTTATTATAGCTGCAAAAGTAATCCTGCCCAAAAAGCCTGCTGGTGAAAGGAGGAGGTACAACAGCCGGAGTCAATAGTTGAACCACTTGCAACTCGAGAATCTAAATCTAGCTTTTTTTTTTTCTCTTTCAATCCAAAAGGGAAACAATAACGCAGAAAGTTTGAGCAAGGAACTTAACCTGTCATAGACGCTCAAGAATGCTCCACATATGTCGCATAGACGCAACTTTTGGTCTGTCTGAGATAATATAGAAACAGTAAGCGATGGTAGAAGATGTTATACTTTTGTCCCGAATAATTTTTTTATTGGAAAAATCAAACGAATCCACTTAAGTTAACTATTACTATTCACCTAAACTTTTTATCATCCTGAATTCAACAGTCCTTTTAATAAAACAAACTAATAAATATATAAGGAATATGAATCTTGAGGGCCTCACTGGGAGGAATGAAGTTAACTTACAATGCGCACATCAACAGCAGAGTACTTCGTTGAATCTGCTGCTGGTTCTCGTCTAACTGTAAGCTGAAACAAATGTAAGCCCAAAAATCATTAGTAATTAATAAATGTAGGGAAAAATAAATTGATCTTAAGAACGAGAATACACCTTCTTAAGAGCTTCAGCCTCTTCCAGTGCTTTCTGTGCTTCATCAACCATTCCTTGTTCACCTAAGTAAACATATAATCAGAACACTCTATTTCAATCTTTGTGAAGTCCAGTGTTTCCTTAACATAGGTATAATAACATACTAAGGGAAGACATTTCCATCTTAGGTATATACAATTTAAGCAATTGTAGGTCAGGAAATCTTGGATGAGCCAGCGGAAATTCCCAACCGGCAGGGAACACTAGACTATGAATATTTAGCAGTTTCAATATTTCACTACAGCGGCTAGTTAATGAGCTCTAAATTACGATGACCATAGAAAAACAATAACCACATACAAATTAGGGTTATTTTCTTACCAAGATCTTCAGCCTTCTTCAGTTTCTCATTTATCATTTCTTGAGTGCGAGGATCCGGTGGAGGCAATGCGGAAGATGGTGGTTGAGCTGGAACGGGTTGTGGTAATGATGCCTTATCTTTGTTGAAGGCTTCCAACAGCAGCACTGCCTACATGAAAAACAAGACAAAGGAATTTTTAGTTGCCAACTTGCCATAGGTGAAGTAAGAAAGCAAAAGTGATCATCAAACTGATAAGAATGCAAATTCACCTGTTGGTCAGCTCTCTTGATCCTCATCTCTTCGACTAACTCAAGAGCTCTAATCTTAAGATCCATTTTGCCTTCAAGATCTGCAAAGTGACATCATAACATTTAAAGACTACCAGCATCTGAAAATTAGATAACCAGACAACAATTATTAGCAAAAAAAAAATTATACTATCCAAAGATCATCCGATTTGTACATAAGCAAACCAGTGACGCTCTTAATTGACAGTACAATAACCCTTTACATAACAAAAGGAGTTTCAAAAGCCGGAAAAAGCACATAAATTTTTCTGGGAAATATTCTTTTAATTTTTACCATGCAAATCTGCTTCCTTCATCTTCTCTTTGATTTTCTCTGATAACTCGAGAATTTCAGGTGTCTGCAGTTAAACGACGAAAGATGATGAACAAACCTGAATGTAGCAAACTTACACGCCAACCAAATTTCAAAATCAAATTATCACCTGAGTGACTTCAGAGACTGAAATGGCAATGGCAGCTTTGGCATCCTCTTCTTGAAGACGGTTAAGGGCCCTACCAATCTTCCTATCACACTCAACAATGAGCCTGTCTATGGCATCTTCCAATTCCCTATCGTAGTTATCAACACCTTTTGCCCTTGCTTCTTGATATCTAAGGGCGAGTTAAAGAAACACAGGAAGTGGAAAGATAACAACATGCCACTGTAGACCTAAACTAAATATAACAACCAATTGGTAACTAATCTGCCTGAAACACAAAATCCAAGGTGAGAGCTAATCTCATATACACTAGCCAGTTAGCAAAAGTATCTAAAAAGCTAGGAAGAAGAACAGACAGCTACCCAAGTAATAACCATGTTCAGTTACCAGATTCAATTGAGAGGAGCCATGAAAGTAGTTCATCATGGAAGTGACAAAAGCGACCTTCGTAGTAACAGTAGAAGATAAATACTAAACTTACTTAAAAAAAAAGGATACTCTTTCCTAAGCTGCAAAGAGTGCAACTTTGGGCAAGGTCCCATATCCATTTTCTGATAAAAACAGAAATATAAAAGAAGCATCAGTAATTATTCAACTAAAAGTAGTCCTGAACTAAATTACTAGACATACACTCATAGAAATCGGCGAAGCAAATACAAAATTTCAGAATTAAGATATACAACTCCTTCGCACTCTAAAGTCTACAGTATTCAACTATAGAAAGGTAAAATGCTGACTTATGTAATGGCAATTGAGGTACAAATTTGCACACTGTTGGTGTTATCTAGCCAACAATGGAGTTCGGAAGATCACCAGAATACTATATCAAGTAACAAAAACCATGTGTCAATTCGAGCTAACGCAGACACAAATATTCAGCTCAATCATGAAATTAGGGGTTTTTTTTTTCCAAAGGATCAGCAATAAACTGACAAATAAAAACAACTGGAGACTCAAAGAGATCGTGATAGCAACGCACCGTCAACTGAAAGAGATCGTGAGGGCAGAGACCAGACAAGTAAAGACGACACACATCGCGGTCATAGTATTTGCGGTTCACCTCCTGAACGTCGCCGTTCCGGTTTGCTCCCATGAGCACATCAAGCTGCTTCCTTATGGCATCCATCTTCGTTTATGGTACTCCCCAATTTGGGGTTTTTGATCGAAGATGATAGAAACTATTGCACTGGATGTAAGAAGATTTTCGTATTTAATATTAATTGCATACAGGTACCTTAATATCAAAAATTTTATGATTTAACCCTATATTTATATCCGTCAACATGTTTTGACCAGTATTTGGGTAAGATTTGGTCGCTTCGTTCTTCGCCGTTGCTCAATCCGAGAAAATGCTGACTCTACTCTTCGTCTCCCTCGGAGTCATCCTTCTTATCGGTCTGCTCGTCAAATTCGCACTCGCCGATGGTAATAACTCGGAAGAGTACTAATGCAACGTGAACTCATTTTCGTTTCTGCTTGTGATCAGAACTATTTATATATTCTGTAACAAGGATTGATCTTTGCTATCTGTAGGAGATTTCACCCTGATTTCTAAGAGGCATGTGAAGCGCGAAGCCATTGAAGGCAAGGTACTGGATTGACATACGAAATATGGAATTTAGTGGCAATGGTTTGAGTTTTTGATAATTTCAGTTTCTGAGAATTAATTCAGATTTCTTGGTTTCGCTCAGGTTGTCTGGATCACAGGGGCTAGCCGTGGAATTGGTAACTCCTGTTTTTAGGATTATCTGAGGATAAATTTCTCAAATCCTTTTATTGTGGCTACTTACTGTTCATGTTTATGATTGATTTGGATTCAGGGGAAATTCTTGCTAAACAGTTTGCAAGTTTAGATGCCAAGCTTATTCTCTCCGCGAGAAATAAAGCTGAACTGGAACGGGTTAAGAGTGAACTCAAAGGTACCAGTGAATAAATGAAAACTCTCCACTTTTGAATTCTGAGCTTTCTGTTGATTGACACGGGATGGAATTGACTCTGTGTTCTTCTAGGTAAATACGCTCCAGAAGATGTAAAGGTTTTGCCTTTAGATTTAGCTAGTGGCGAAGAATCGCTCAAACATGTTGTAGAGCAAGCAGTGTCGCTTTTTCCTGGGGCTGGTGTTGACTATTTGGTTCACAACGCTGCCTATGAGCGTCCCGTAAGTAATTACCGTGCTAATGTTTTGTATATGCTCAACAGAGAGTCTTAGGCTAGAGGGTTTTTTAGTTGAAGCTTTAATTTTTTGTTCAAGGGCGTATCCTCACCAAATCTATTTCTTGCAGAAATCCAAGGCATCGGATGCAACTGAGGAAACTCTCAAGGTAAGATGATTATGTAAAATCCGTAGGCAAAAAATTTTTATGTGTTTTGATTGCCAGATTTGTCTTAGCCTGTAATAAGTAGGATAAGTATGGTTTTCAAATATTTTTTGAAGTTGACATATGGTTATTCACTTTGTGTGCAGACTACATTCGATGTTAATGTCTTTGGGACAATAACTCTCACAAAGTTGGTAGCTCCTTATATGCTAAACCAAGGAGGTGGCCATTTTGTTGTGGTACGTTGAGACTAACCGGGGATAGTTTTTGTTTAGTGCCCCAATTTTGTGGATGTGTCGGGATTGAGCTTCATATCATAGTTTATGGATATGTATATATATTGCGTTTTTATATATTAGTCTAAGGTTGAAATCACACTATTGAATCTTTGACCAAATATGTTAAATTTGAGGCTATTTAGACAGCTTAAGGTTTCTTTTGGTTTATTTTCGCCTGCTAGGCAGCTTATAAATTATTTTACCATATACATATATATCTTGAGAAGTAATGCTATATGACTAGCTATTCTTGTATGTGTTGATTGTCCATTTTCTTGAGATAAATGTCAAGATTAATAATTCATAGAAGTAATGCTATATGACTAGCTATTCTTGTATGTGTTGATTGTCCATTTTCTTGAGATAAATGTCAAGATTAATAATTCATGTCAATCTACAGATAAGCAGTGCTGCAGGAAAGGTGCCATCACCTGGACAGGCTATATATTCTGCTTCAAAGCATGCTCTGAACGGCTACTTCCACAGCTTGCGTTCTGAGGTATGTTGACAGTTAAAGAAACTAAGGTGCTTGCTAATTATTTGGCAGCAAATGACTATTGAAAGTCACGTTAGAAAACTCGCAGCTATCCCAGATTGTTAATAAAATTATTTGCTGGTTTGATTTTTTTCTTTTACACTCCTTTTTTACTAATTGCTGAAAATAGCACCATAAAGTATAATAACTCTCAGTATCTTCCCATGGTCTCAGTTCTGTCAGAAGGGAATCAAGGTTACTGTCGTTTGTCCTGGTCCAATAGAAACCTTGAATGGTACAGGAACATCAACTTCGGAAGACAAGAAGTCTCCTGAGGTTGGTTAACTGATTATAATTGTGATTTGTTGGTTAAGTTGTCACCTGGTTTATTACTTCCGCATTTCCTTTAACTACTAATTAGTCTTGTAGACACAAAGACTCCTTGTCCTTTTCAACATTAGGATCGTCTATCAGAGTCCTTTCTCTTTTTATTTCCACTCAAGCATCTAATACATGAATTTTCTTTGCCACACAGAAGCGTGTGTCATCTGAACGATGTGCAGAACTGACTATAATAGCTGCATCTCATAACTTGAAGGAGGCTTGGATTTCATGTCAGGTACTTCTTTCTCAAATTGCATATGTTACACTCGGTTTAAATGCAGATATATAAGCTTCTTTTCGCACTTTACAGCCGGTACTGCTCGTGATGTATCTAGTGCAGTACATGCCTTCTCTTGGCTTCTGGCTCATGGACAAGGTACTTTGTTCATCCGTTTATCTTTTTCAGAAGTTACTGGTGTCAGAGTTCGTTTTCTTTTCCATTAACATGTGACAGAAAACATTTTTGACTTAAAAAGAAAATCAAGATAGAACAGAGGCAATTACTATTTTTCTGTAAGGCAACTTTTTTGACGAAAACGAATTACTTGCAGGTGGGAGGGAATCGTGTGGAGGTTGCAGAAAAGAAAGGCAACACATACTCATGGAATTTACTGTTCAGGAAGAAGACTAAAACAAAGGATATTTAGAAGGTGTTGATGTAGTTAGTTGGTGTTTATGTTAGTGTCTGTTTGGTTGTTAAATAACTAGCAATTTGTAGCCTTGTGAGTTGCTCAATAAGTAAGAAACGATGGCAATCTTCTGTATTTTAGCTATACACAACATCCACGTTGGTTTTACAACGTTCAAGTTTAAAAATATCAAACACCTTGACCTTGGTAGTTGGTGCGCTCGAAATGTGTTCAAATGGAACTACAAGGTAATTGTGGCTGTATAGTCATCCAACAGACTTTTGATCCCAGTGGACTTCAGTTCCTACAAAAGAAGAACCAAAAAGAAAGAACCTATATGACGCATACATTAAAGACTAACTAAAGCTTTTGGGGTTTGACTTGCTGCCAGAAACTCACAGATAATACTCCTGCCAAAGCTTCATAAGGTTGATTAGCTGGTTTTGCAACACGAATGGCTACAACACCGTTCAATCTTTCCTTCTCTTCAGAGTAAAAGTTTCTGTAAACTCGAACACCTGCAGATAATAACATAATTCAGGTTAGAACCGTCCAAATAGCAAAAGAGATACTTTTCTAAACGTTTTATGCTGTTTAAGTAACAATGGTAAAGATCTAAACCTTCTTCTATAACCTGAACTCCAGGAAGAACTTTGGCAAGACCCTCTACTCTCAGCATTTCTGAGAATGAAGTATAATGGTGAACGTCCTGCCCTCATCAAAAGGGTTAATTAAAAAATGTACAGTGTTTGAGCTCACAATGAAGAATTGACAGAGATACAACGATTAGTGGAGTTACCTGAACTTCAAGCAGCAAGCATTTATTGAACAAGATAAAAGCTCCTGAACTAATTCTGAGAATCCAAAGGAAACATAAAGCTAACTAGTAAGGTACTGAGTAGACAAATTTTGTAGTCAAAACCCGGAAAAGGAAAAACAAGAGATGAAAATGTAATGGTTCTGTTCATCAACAAAGATAAAAAAAACAGACCCCATGTAGTCTCCCACTGCACATCTTCCTTCAACAGTTTTCAAACCATCTGGCGAATGAGCGGCACCGGGAAACAAAAATGAGATGGAGCAAAGTAAACTGTCTACTACACTCAAGTAAACAGAAACTTTACCTTTCAATTGTGTGAAATAAGGCTCTTGGACATGAAGCTCAAAGTTTACCTTCTTCAACATCTGAAAGAACGAAGCTTTTCTGTGTAAAAATTCCTAACTAAATTTTCCCACTCTGTTTCGATGCAAATAGCCAGAAGTTGAGATTCTAAGTTTTCATACTTAGTTACATACATTTACCAAGTCATGTCCCAAGCCATGGAACAGTTTGCTGTATTTCTCCAAGTTAGAATTTTTATCACCCACGGAAGCTAGACATTCAGACAGAGCCCTTGCTAGAAGCTTGTAAACCGCAGGTTTCTCTGCTCATTGAAAAAATAATTATGCGAAATTTCAGTTATGTCTCCTTAGCATTCCAGTTTCACAATGAGCAAAACTCACCTGAATCATCCTCGAGGAGATGGAGGCAAAAATCTCTGGTCAGGTCGAGATCGAAACTTGGAACGGGTTCATATAAGTGAGAGCGGAGGGTAAAACATAGCAGTGATTCCATGCATTCACGGAGGTTCACGGACTCTGTTCCCGGCGATGTCGGTTGCTCCATTTTCGTCAAAAACGCCAGAGTAAATCGATAAGCCTCTTCTTAATTAAGAAAATTTCGTTAAAATACCCTCAAGTTTGCAAATACTACAAGATGATCTGACAAAATTGAAAACATATCTGATACGGAAGTGAAAACGTTGTCGTTGTCCCGATTTGTAAAGTACGAAAGAGTGACACGCGAACCTTTATTTTGTCCGTATCGTGTAATATTTACAAAATCAGCATAAATAGACACAAGAAAAATTTCGTGTAAATACCCTAAATTTTGTAAATATTACAAGATGTTCTAACTAAAATTCGAAATTGCTTGTATAAGACCTTGACCTTGATTTAAAACGTTGTCGTTTGGAAGGTTACTAGAAAGTGACACGTGAGGAGCACGTGAAGCTTTCGCGTAGAGAGAGACAGAGAGTGACTCACAGTCACACATGGCATATTCTCAGAAATCCACCATGATGACTGACTAAATATACCTCTGATAAGCCCCACTTACCATTGTTCTCCTGACCTCTGTAGAAAGATCCGATTTGTATATTCTCGGGTCTACCCAAAGACCCGAACTTTGACCCGGTTTGATGGACTGGATTCCGTGTCCGTGTTGGGGAACCAACGACGATGAAAACGCCGGTGACGTAGCGGATCGTGATCCCGTGCTTCTAGTTTCTGGTATCGGAGGCTCGATTCTGCATTCTAAGAAGAAGGATTCAAAGTCTGCAATCCGGGTTTGGGTTCGGATATTTTTGGCCAACCTTGCCTTTAAGCAGAGCCTCTGGTCTCTCTATAATCCCAAAACTGGTAAATCAACTCTCTTTTTGCAGAGGTTTCCTTGTAAATTTTGAGTCTTGCTTTATACTTTTCTAATAGTAGGCTTTATATGAGCTTGTTAGGAGAGCTGGTTTCGAACTTTAGATTCCGTTTGAAGTCATGAACTTTAGAGTACCAGTTCATCTTATGAGTTTAAGCAAAGTGAGTTATTATGAATCAGATATTAAATTTGTGTTTTTTTGGCAGGTTATACAGAGCCGTTGGATGACAATATTGAAATCGTGGTTCCTGATGATGACCATGGACTCTATGCAATTGATATTCTAGATCCCTCCTGGGTAAGATCGGTCTTTCATTCCTTATAATTCTTGTTACTCGGTGCATTGGCTACTTCTATGTAGTTCTTAAGGTTTAGGAGTGAGCAAGAGAAGTTTTATGTGCAACAATATTTGTATCTAGTTAGCTGTTCGTTCTTGATGTCTAACCTCAGTGTCTGTTTTGCTGGAAATTGTTTTGTTTTTTTGCTTAACCTTACTTCTTTGTTGCGGTCGTTTCATATTTACTAAATATGGAGTTGGCTTGTTTTCATGTTATATCTGATATCTCAATCTTTGCTTTTCCAGTTTGTAAAGCTTTTTCACTTGACGGAGGTTTATCACTTTCACGATATGATAGAAATGCTGGTTGGTTGCGGTTATAAGAAGGGGACTACATTATTCGGATATGGTTACGATTTCCGGCAAAGCAATAGGTGATTTTGGAATCTTTACTGCTGTCACCTGATTTTGTAGTTCCGGAGATTTTTTTAGATATTTTTTGCTTATATCATTCTTGCAGGATCGATCTACTTATACGAGGTCTGAAGAAGAAACTGGAAACTGCATATAAATGTTCAGGGGGCCGAAAAGTCACTATCATATCCCATTCAATGGGAGGACTTATGGTTTCATGTTTCATGTATCTTCATCCAGAGGTATTATAATCACCAACTAGTATGATCTTCGACAGATTCTAGCTGATATTTAGAGTTTCATCTATTCAAACAGGATTACGAAGTCTCCGTTTTTCTTGTTGACAGGCCTTTTCTAAGTATGTAAATAAATGGATCACAATTGCAACACCTTTCCAAGGTGAAACCAATTATGTCTTTGGAAAGTTGTTCATTGAAGAAATATCCGTTTTCATTGGAGATGACTTTAAATTTTGTTAACAGGAGCACCAGGGTGCATCAATGATTCACTTTTGACTGGAGTACAATTTGTGGAAGGGTTAGAAAGTTTCTTTTTTGTGTCACGGTGGACGATGCACCAACTGGTAATAAACCCTCAAAGTTTTCGGGTTCTGGCATAGAATTTTTTGTGTTACACCAAAGCATTTAAATTTTTCTGGTCCATGAAAGTCTTATTTTAGACTGATGAATCTGTTTGTTTTTATTTTTGGTTTTAGTTGGTTGAATGCCCATCGATATATGAGATGATGGGAAATCCAGATTTTAAGTGGAAAAAGCAGCCAGAGATTCGAGTTTGGCGTAAGAAATCTGAAAACGACGATGATACTTCTGTAGAACTGGAATCTTTTGGCCTAATCGAGAGTATTGATCTATTCGACGATGCACTGAAAAATAACGAGGTATCAAACTTACGCACTCAGCTTTTGTTTTTCGTTTGGATTGGCTTAAGATGTTATTTGGTCACTGTAGATATACTTAAACATCTAAGTTATTTATTTTAGCTAAGCTACGGTGGGAATAACATAGCTTTGCCCTTTAACTTTGCTATCCTCGACTGGGCTGCTAGTACAAGAGAAATTCTAAACAAAACGCAACTTCCTGATGGAGTTTCCTTCTATAACATATATGGAGTGTCACTTGATACACCCTTCGATGTTTGGTATGCACCAGAACTATCATAGTGTCTCTATTGCCTGAGGCACTTTTTGTTGGTTGGTTTATAAGGAGTATTTTCTTGAATCATCAAAACTAAATTTCTCGGTCGATTCTGACTGTTTCACCACATTAAAAAGATGTATTTTGTTTTTTCTGTTGCAGTTATGGCACAGAGACTTCTCCGATTGAAGATTTGTCTGAAATATGTCAAACTATGGTGAGTGAAATGACTCTTCTTGAGTAGAATGGTTAGGTTCCTTGTAAAAAATTTTTTTGGAAACTTGCGGTTCTCTATCCCGCCTTTGATTTGTTACCTTTTAGCATTCGTTCAGTTACTCTACTTTAATGTTTGATTTGAAAGTCTCTGCATCTTTGAATCTTGTTTCAGCCAGAGTATACATATGTAGATGGAGATGGAACTGTACCTGCTGAATCAGCTGCAGTAAGATACTTTCTTGTTCATCTCTGAGTTGTCGCTTTTGGTCTGTTACTGGTTCTGTTGTCACTTGTTTAACAAAACCCATACGTTTCTTCTAACCATTTTTGCAGGCTGCTCAGTTTGAAGCAGTTGCGAGCGTAGGAATCTCCGGTAGCCATCGTGGGCTTCTCCGTGATAAAAGAGTATTTGAGCTGATCCAACGATGGTTAGGAGTAGAGCCTAAGAAGGCTAGAAGGAAACATTTAAGGATTCGCAAAGTTGTTGATTCCAAAGCCTAGTTACAATTATTAAAAGATCTTGTTTGAATAATTTAATAATAAACCGAACTTCTTAATTATTATCAAAGTGTGATGATTGTAAAATATTATGCTATTGTAAGTTATGACATGTTTGTGCATGGAATCGTAAACAGAAAGCATATGGAATTCATATTACATTATTTTTCGGTACTACAAAATGAGACCCGTCGTCGTTGCGCAGGTAGGGAGATGTGGCAGAAATTTCTCTTCATCATTGCCTGAAATGAGTGCAATCGATCGATCGAGTGGATGGATCATTGGTTTATTGATATTTTGTTTTGTGTGTTGCTGAGCATGATTGTAGGAAAGAAACTTTTCGGTGTGTATGTGGGATATGGCTTAATGGGTACGTATGGTATTAATTTGGTGGTCATGAGTCATGAAGTGATATACTATATAGAGAGTGTTTAATTAATTTTGGCAATCTTTTTGCCTCGACGTACGACACCTCAACAAACTTGACTTTTCATATTGTGATGTAACTATAGGTCCTCTTCTAATTGGCGATTCGGTAGCTATTAGCTAAGACAGAGGAGGAGGCGCAAAAGGTATACATATATTCCTTCTTTTTTTAATTAGTTTAATGCCAGTTTTTGATTACTTGGTGGTGGTACCCTATAGCTTTCTTCATCATATCATTTCGTAAGTGTTTCTGTTCTTCAGCATTTGAGGGAGACTTTAGGGGAGTCTGTGGTAATCGCCGATCTAAGAGATAAGATGTGGTCTGGTCGTCTAGGGGATGCGATTTGGTCTCGTTTGAGGGACAATGCTAAAAGGATGTGGTTTTTTCCAAAATTCTAGGTTTTTGTTGTTGTTGTTATCCGGTCCATTCTATTGTAGACTAGTTTCGCTTACCAGGCATAATAAATTAAGGAATTGCCTTACTTTGCTTCTTTATGTAAATTGAAAAAATTATGAAGCTTGGCTGCTTATTATGTTATACACTCCTATGCTGATGTAATTTCACTTCTTTAGGTTCAAATGACCTTTGTTTTACCCTCATTACAAAACAAAACACTGCTAATGGAATCATGCATGCATTAATCATATGGCCTTTTTTTTGTTTCACCAACTGATTTTTCTGAGAACAACATTGTCCAGAGTCATCCTGCCAAGAACAAATTGAACCACATATGTTCTACCCCCAAGTCCTCTTAATTCTTTGCCTGAACATGCAAAATGACTTTGTTTCTTGCGTTTGTTAGATAGCTTTTAGGCCGGCCACCATTATTGGTGGTCTTATTATATTACCATTCTTTCGTAATAGTTCCAAAGAAGAAAGAAAATAAAATTTAATTAAACATCTAATTAGTAATAAAGAAAACAAAGGCAAAGAAACGACGAATTAAGAAAATAATAAAAATGTAGACTTTTTTTTTTGGGGTTGGAGCATTGCAGTTGGGAAATTTGAGAGATTCAGCTGCAAATGCTACTGATTCGCGATAAACAGAGCTGATGGAATCGATCGGCGACGACGATGAGCTCAGAAGCAAAGCATCTTCTCATCGGAGAAGAATCTCGTTTACGATTCTTCTTCTTCTCCTTATCTCGTTTAGTAGTACGAGAGTCTCTGGTTCGATTGACGAATCTGGAAGAAGAGTGATTGAAGCGAGAACTGGGCAAGACTTGATTTGGGTTGTTCAGCTGTCCGATCTCCATTTCAGTGTTCATCATCCCGAAAGAGCCATTGATTTCAAAAACATCGTGGGTCCTGCTCTGTCTCTTATCAACCCTTCTCTCGTCCTAATCACCGGTGATCTCACAGGTTTATATCTCTCTCGTGTGACTCACCTACTTGTTTTACCCCTATTTCTTCTAATTTGTGAATCTTTCGTTGCTACGGCTCGTTTGATGATGTTTGTTTCTGGGTTCTTAGGTTTCACCTATGCTTCTTATATGCAAGTCTGAAGCTTTGATTAATTCGAGTTCGATTTTCCCCAAAAAAATTGAAAATTTAGCTTTGGGAACTGTTTGTGGTTAGATATTGCTATGTCCGATACTTATAGATTCTCATCTGTACTAGATATAGCTGTTTGATGTTTGTTCCTAATTTGATTAATCAGATGGGAAAAGCAAAGACATGTTAACAATGAAGCTAAATGAAGATGAGTGGTTAGAATACGAGAGTGTGATGCAAGATGTTGTCAAAAGAAGTGGACTGAATAAGAGCATATTCTATGATCTTAGGGGTAACCATGACAACTTTGGTGTTCCGGCTGTTAGTTCATCTGCTGATTTCTTCTCCAAGTATAGCATCAACGGACAGATGGGAAGGAAAGAAAATGTCAACACCATAACTGTTGAGGTCGGTGGTTACGCTCTCCCAGCTTGATCTATTGTTAAATTCTTGATTTATTTTGGTTGAGATCATTGATTGTTTAAGTTTGGGTTGGTGAAGGACTGATTTTTATTTGAGACGAAAGGTTATCTATTACATTGTGCTAACGGTTCTGTGTTTTTTTATACAGACTAGCGAACGTAAACATCTGTTTGTTGGTGTTGACACCACAATGCATATTGGTTTGCGTGGCCCGACAAATCTCTTTGGGCATCCAACTGATGAGCTTTTGAGCTCACTTGACTCACACCTATCGCAATGGGATAACCAATCAGCAAAACCTGTGGCAAAAATATCATTTGGGCATTTCCCGTTGTCATTCACAGCGCAGTCACATTCTCAAAAGAGCCTTAAAGATGTTTTTCTGAAGCACTCCATCTCAGCATATTTGTGTGGCCATCTACACTCAAAGTTTGGCAAGAATCTGAAAAGACATCATTACTCTGGTGGTATCAGTTTATCAGATAATGACTTGTTTCAGCTGAATATGAGGCAGAGTAGTGCTGAAAGTACTTCCAACTGCTCCTTTGGAGCCTTGCCAGCTGCAGAGTTCTGGGAATGGGAGATGGGTGACTGGAGAAAAAGCAGGGCAATGCGGATCATGGCCATTGATAGGGGTCATGTTTCATATGTTGATCTTGACTTCAAGTCAAAATCCCAGAAGACTATCATATTACCGACCTTTCCATTAGATTCACGTTTTATGTCAACATCCTTTGCACGTCACAAATATGAATGCCAACATATGATCTCATCATCCTATGACACAATAAGAGCCATTGTGTTTTCTCATTCCCTGGTTGTGGAAGTCGTAGCAAGAGTTTATGACTCGAGCCCTGGATTTGACAATCTGGTCATGGAAGCTCCAATGAGAAAACATGGAGGTGACACTTCTTCCGGGGCAACATTCTTTTCCCTTCCATGGAATTATAAAGCCTTTGAAGATCCCTTACCTGATAGATTTTGGCTGCAAATAGAAGTTACTGACATCAGAGGCAGATTAACTTTATCAGAAATGCGACCATTTTCTATCAATGGTCTAAGCTCTAAAGTTTCATGGACATGGCATGAGTTTCGTGTCATGGGCTGCCAATGGGCGGCATTATATTACCCGATTCTTTGGTCTGCTCTATATAGTTTGTTACTCGTATTTCTTGTCCCCAAATGCATTATCATTGTTTTCAAGAAGCAGTACACTCTGAAGAAGTTCATTGCGAAGAAGGGACCAATTACACTTGTACTGTGGATTCTCCAAGACCTCTGCAGAATGCCTGTAGTTTGGTTCGGTTACATGGCATACTTGTTCTATCTCATATTCTTCCCTTGGTTCTCTGGTGAAGTGTTTACTGATTCCGGAAACAGAACATACATGACTATTATGGGATGGGTGGTCACAAGCTCAGGTGCAGATAGGAAACATGAATACGTTGGACAACCTGACGTAATGGTTCTGGTGATACCACATGTGGTCTTTGTTGTTGTCCCCAGTGTCTTGGTTGTGTGTTGTCTGGTTGCTGAGAGAGAAATGTACAAAGATCACATTCGAACCATCTCTGGCAAGAAAGAGGATGACCATGACTGGGGAAGGAAGAAGAGATCACAACGCCGGTCGCTGCTGTTCTCTAACAGAAGACTGTTTCGAAAATCGATCTTGCTGGCTTCATTGGCTCTATATTGGAAGCATTTCAAGGTACTACCTACTTGTATAATAACTCATTTATTTATGTCTTGCATTGGCAAAAACCTGGGCTTATGAAAGTATGGTTTGTTTGAACTTGTCATTACAGAACTGCTGGGCTCTAGCTAGAGCTTATGAGATGAACGTGGTTCATTATCCAGGTTACAGCCTTGTAGTTCCATTGTTGCTACTATATGTTATCTGCAAAACCCATAAAGTTCCATGAGACTTGAAAAGAAGGCTATGTGGAAGTTTTGGTGTGTTATGTTTGATTTGATTATTTTAGGGATTTTTTTTGCCTTTTCTAATGTGTTGTTTGATAGAGTTGGACACTATTATAGATTACAATTGGGAAAAACTGAAGTTGGAATTTGAGAGTCAGGTTTTAAGCAAAGTAGTAGTATAGAATTTTCATTAAAAATGTAATTTGGCATTCAGAATCCTTTCTCCATTTTCTCCACCAATAATGTAAAAAGGAAGACATATTTTCACAAATTATTCTGTATCCGGTAAAAAATACTATAAATGAGGAATGACGTCAGCGAAACTTCGAAAGCGTGTGTCACTTATCGCATCATAATTGATAACGCAAACCAGTCATTTCCCGTAGTAATAAATAAATACTTCATTTAATTCTTCTTCAACAATTTTCAAGTTTTTTTTGCTCAAAAAAATAATATTTCGAAAACCGCAGTTTCTTAATAATAAATCAAGTCGCTAATCCCTTTGATCACTCGTCTTCCTGAGATACCTTTCCTCTTCTTCCTCGGTAAGTTTTCTCTCCGTCAGTGACTGTACCTGAAGCTACTTTTTCCTGCTTTGTTTGTATCATCCCATTCGAGGTTTTCTCCCTTGTTTTTTATTTTGATTTTATCCGACCCTTGTGAAGAAGATATCGCAAACAAATATTCTGCGATTTCTTCTTATTTGCTCTTGCGTTATTGCTCTTTCTTACTCAACTAGTGAGGAGCTGTGATAATTGTTGCTAAATTAGGTTTTGTTATACTGTCTATCAGTCTCAGTCTATGTTACAGTTGACCATGGATGCTGGTGAGATGGACACTGAGACCGTTGATCAAGTCTCTGCCTCTCCTCTCCAATTTGCAAGAAGGTTTGGATTTACC